CGGAGACCTTACCCCGGGATCCTGCCGGTTGCTTCCTTTGCCTTGCACTGCCCGGCGCCTCCTTCCTGACCCAGGGCCAGCCGGGTCCCGGGACTCTCTCCGACATCCCCGCGTCGCTGCGCGGTCGCACGCCTTCCCCGAGCCTCCCCTCCGGCCAGGGCTTCTCACCCGGCCGCCCCCGACCCGGGCGCACCGGCTCCCGCGCCCTGCCCTGCGCAGAGCTGCACCCTGGTGGCTCCCAGCCTCCTCCCCCGGGCGTGGGAAGTAGCCCCTTTGCTGGGACCTTCCAGATACACAGCCGCTCTCCCCCTGCCCCAGGGGTTCTTTGACCTTGGAGTCTCAAGAGATTGACCCATCCGTGCCTTCCTGAGCCCTATGGAAACCCCCATCACTGGAGAAGGGGCAGCGACCCCCTGTGGGACTGCCCTTGGAATGGGCCTTGGCAGAGTAGGAGATAGTGAGGCATTCTCTACCCCACTCACCCCACCAGAGCTGAGCCCTGGATGCGGGAAGTCCGTGGGAGTCAGGCTCCCAGCATCTTGTAATTATCCAGGCAATGGAGTAGGAGGAAGGCAGGCCAGTGGCTGCCCCCCTGGGAGCCATAGTCACTCACCTGTTACACTTGGGGGCAAGGGGTGAGTGACTCAGACACATGCTCATTGATGGGGGAGGGTCTTGAAGGAGGCTGAAACCATCAAGTTCCCCAGCCCAGCAGTGGGGCTGAGAGGGAGCTGGCTCTGGGGCTGCTTTCAGCCACCTGCTCCCCTCCCCAGGGGACCCTGCAGGAGTCCCAGTAACCCCTTACACAGAGAGATGAGGAAAGCCTTGTCACATCCATTATGCAGCAGCAATGACACCCCCCCTCCGTTCTACCCTCTCCCGTTTACAGTGTCACTAAATGCCAGTTCTACAGGTGAGGAAAGGGAGGCTCCGGGACGTTCAATGACTGACCCAACCTTGATTGAGGCAGAATTAGGATGTAAATGCAGGTCTCCAGGCTCCTCGGACATTCTCTCCAGGAAGAGCTGCCCAGTTTGTGATCCAGGATAAGTAAGACGTAAGACAAGGCCCAGGCTGATAAACAGGAAGATAACAAATTCAGAGAAGGCAGTGAGGGGTGCAGGTAACAGAGGGGACAGGTGAGAGGCCAAGCAATCAAGGAGGGCTTTCTTAAGGAGGTAATGTTCACGTTTGGACCTCAAGGAGGAGGGAGAGACCTACAGTCTAGGGAGTGAACACTGTTGTAAGCATGGTCCAGGGGTTGATGCCTGGACTCTGACTTCCAGCCCCACCATGCACCAGCTGTGGGACCCCAGGCAAGTACCTTAACCTCTCAGCTTCATTTTCTGCATCCATAAAATGGGATTCATAGTCATAGAACCTAGTTCTCAGAGTTATTACAAAAACTGAAAGAGTTAATACATGTATGTAAAGTGTTTTAAATGGTAGCCTGCATATAGTTAGTGTTCTAAAAATGTGAATTATTATTATTAGGGCGAACTAATAGTCAGGTGGGCACAAACCAAGTGTGGTCTTAGTGGTCCTTTGTCCTGGTTATAGAATACCAGACTCTTCCAGGCTCATGGTTCCCACTCGCCACGCCTTCCCACTCATGCGGTCCAGTACCCAGTTGGGACAGGAGTAGAAGGGAACAAGTTTGGGAAACTGGTGCATGGTGATGATGGAGGAGGCAGGGTGGATGCCCAACCAAGTCTGGCCAAGGGCCTAGGGGCAGAGAAAGGATCTCTACTTCTACAAAGCTCACCTGGTCACCATCTTTTACCTCCTAGGCCCTGTCTGGAGAGAGCTGCACCCCACAAATGCCTTGGCATCAGAGGCAATTATATAGGGGGTAGGAATAGGGGAGGAGGAGGAGGCATGGAGGGAGGAAGGCAGAAGAAGGAATGGCTCGGGATTGGCATCCAGTCCTGGACTCTGATTTAAATCCTGGCCCTGTCACATGCTACCCGTGTGATCCTCTTTGGGTCTCAGTTTCCTTATCTGTGTGGTGGGGAGATTCCCTCTGCGTCCCAGGGGTGGGACGTTTAGAACCCTCTTTCTTCCTCCATTGCCCATCGTCGCTGTGTCCCTGCCTGCTCTGGAGCTCTCACCATCTCTCTCTACCCCTTCTCCCTCTCCAGTGGACTGTGACCAGGAACCCCTGGACCCCGTGTACCTGCCGGCAGCCCTGGAGCTCCTGGATGCCCCTGAGCACTTCCGTGTGCAGCAGATGGGCCGATACCCACCTGCCAACTCCTCTCTGGGCTCCAGGTCTGAGACCTTTCTGCTCCTACAGCCCTGGCCCAGGGCTCAGCCACTTCTTCGGGCCTCCTACCCACCCTTTGCCACTCAGCAGGTAAGGAGGGGGCACCAGGGACTCACAGGCTAACAGGACTCAGAGCCAGGGTCTGCCGTGTGTGGCTTAGTGGCCCGCCCCAGCTCCAGCTATGCTCACCATTTTCCAGAGGGGAAACTGAGGCCCATAAAGGCTTCCTCCTGCCAGGCTGGAATTGGAAGGCTGGCATTCCATCTTCCCACATCTTACTTCCCCCCACCCCCTACCTGTTAAGCATCCCCACTCTCTCTGCAGGTTGTCCCTCCTCGGGTCACTGAGCCCCACCGAAGGCCGGTCCCGTGGGACGTGCGGGCCGTGTCAGTGGAAGTGGCGGTGACTCCAGCAGAGCCCCACGCCCGAGTTCTCTTCCACCTCAAAGGGCAGGACTGGCCTCCGGGCCCTGGCAGCCTGCCTTGTGCCCGGCTCCATGCCACACACCCCGCAGGCACAGCTCACCGAGCATGCCGCTTCCAGGTGAGTGTACAGGCCCCACCCAGGCTCGCCCTGGAGTAGGAAAGAGGGCTCACCACTCCTGGGAAGTTTGGGGGTCACCTACCACCTGACTCCAGTCTTCTCTGTTGTTTAGGGCCCCTTATGGAGTTTAGTCCATTGTATATGATTTTGGGCAAGTAACTTAATCTCTCTGAGACTTAGTTTCCTCATCTTTAAAATGGGGCAATAACAATTCTCACCTCATATGGAGTTGGACTGAAGAACAAATGAGATGAATGCAGTGCCTGGCACAGAGCAACCTTTCAGCAAAGGTTTGCATTATTGCCAGTATTACTTTTATAATTGCAATTTCCACTCTTTTGGAGGCTAGCACAGGAATCCACTAGAGAGAGGTATTTTGTGGATTTTGGGAATCTGAGAAACCTGAGCTGTAGTCAGGGTGGTTGTGGGGCATTGGTTACGGGGAGGCCTTGGGGCCGGCTCCCTCTGGAATGAGACCGTTCCCAAAGATAGAAAAGTGGCCCATAGACGCATTCTGAGACCTAGCCCCAGCCCTGTCCCCAGTTGGCTGTGTCATCTGGGATTTGTCGCTGGCCCATGCTGGCCCTACCTGTCAGAGTCCCTTCCAGCTCTGGGTTTCCTGACATACCAACGGTGGCCATTGTGTATCTGCAGCCATCCCTGGGCGCCTGCGTAGTCGAACTGGAGTTCCCCTCCCACTGGTTCTCCCCGGGCTCCACCACACGGGCTGAGCTCGCTTACACGCTGGAGCCCACCGCCGAGGGCCCTGGGGGCTGTGGCCCTGGTGGGGACGAGGACCCTGGAGAACAGGCCCTGCCAGTGGGCAGTGTGGAGCTGCGCCCGGCAGACCCCCCGCAATACCAAGAGGTGCCATTGGATGAGGTAGTGACTCTGCGGGTGCCTGATGTGCCTGTGCGGCCTGGCCAGCTCTTCAGTGCCACCCTCCTGCTTCGCCACAACTTCACAGCCAGTGTCCTGACCCTGCGGTGAGCACCAGGCCCCTAGGGGTGGGTTGGAGGCAGGAACCTTTGCAGGAAGACTGGGCAGGAGCCTACTCCTCCTGTGGTTCTTACTAGAATCCTTGACCTCTGTAAAACATGGGTCCATCTAACCCCGTCCAGGCCAAGCACTGCGATTGCCCTGACAGCAGGCAAGACCCAGCAGTGGACACAGTCCTGAACTTGAAGTCAGAAGTAGGAAGCTCCCCTCTTCTGGCCCCTCCCCAAGACTCCTTTGTCTCGTGGGGCTAACTTACCTGCTTCACAGGGCAGCTGAGAGGCTCAGGGAGGGAAAACAGGAAAGGGCTTGGAAACTGGCAAGTGCAGTGCCTAGGGGTAGTTAATGCTCTAATGCCTCAGGAGGGGTATTTGCCCCCGTCTCATTCACTTGCCTGTTCTCCCACTTGCCACCCTCACCACTGGTCCCTCACCTTTGGACAGAGTCAGCGCCTCTCCACAGAAAGGACCTCCTCTTTGTATCCCTTTCTGCAGAAGTTCCCCCAAAGCAGCCCCCAACCCAATCCCAGTGACAAGGACTTGCAGAGTGTGACTTGCCTCTTCCATATTTGCATTTGTGTGTGTCCCTTCCCTCTGTGTCTCTCAGGTGCCTGTCCCGTCTCTCTGTCTCTCATGTCTTGTGCTCGCTCATAGACTCATTAGATCTTTCCTGGAGAGAGGAGCAAGGCCCAGTCCCCTCCTGGCACTAAGGGCCCCCAGGGGTAGGGAAGGGAGCTGGACGGGCATGAACTGGAGTATATGAGCCGATGAAGGTACAAAGTGCTGCAGGGGCTCAGGTTAGGTGGTGCAGGAAGCAGAAATTCATCCTGCCCTGGGAACAGCTTTCTAAAGGACATGGTATTTGGAGGCTTGAAGAAAAAGCAGACGAAGGAGGGAAGGGCAGGCGGGGCAGAAGGCACAGCCTGAGCAAAGGCTTAGAGGCACGAATGGAGTTGTGTGTTGGGGGAAGAACTTTTGGTGCAGCTAAAACAAAGAGTGATGTCACAGCTGAAGATAAAACTGGACCAGACCCTGGAAGGCCTTGAATGCCAGGCTTAGACTTGACCTTGTGTCCAGTGGGGAGTCATGAGTGGCCTTTGAGAGGAGGAGAGCCATATGGCAGGACCTGCACTGAGACAGGGTCCTCCTGGGTCTGAGGATGCAGAGGAGGATATTGAGCCCTGAACCGGGGAGAGCCAGGCAGGAGCTGGCATCTTTAGCCCCTTGTCTTCCTCCTCGAGTCATATTCACAGTTTAGACAAACTCGACCTGTGTCCTTCCCCAGGATCAAGGTGAAGAAGGGGCTGCATGTGACTGCTGCCCGCCCAGCCCAGCCCACCCTCTGGACTTCCAAGCTTGACCGCTTCAAGGGCTCCAAGCACCACACCACCCTCATCACTTGCCACCGAGCTGGGCCCACAGGGCCAGACTCCAGGTGAGTAGTTCCCTCCCCTGGGGGTGGGGGCAGAGGAGGGAGGGCTGGTGGGCTGATTTATGGGGCTCCAGGGAAGAGGCTGCCACACTGCATCCATATTCCTGTGTGAGCAGGCACAAGAACAGACTCCTAGGAAGCGGTATAAAGCAGTGTAGTGTTCATTCATTCATTCATTCAGCTATTTATCCCTCCCCAGTCATGTGCCAGGTACAGTGAGTGTTAGAATTATTCCAGGTGATGCCAACCTATCCTGGCCACCCAGTTACAGCTCTCACAGCCACTACCTCACCTCCCACCATCACCAGATGGGTCCCTTTGTGAGGGCTGTTAATATTTCCAAAAGCCCAGCTGCAGTTCTTAACATGTACAAACTCTTCTTCTTCGTGCCCTGGGTCAAGGCTGTGGGCTTTGAAGCTGCTGTTCAAATCCTGGTTTTGACACTTTTTGGATGAATAACTTTGGGCAAACCAGTCCTCTCCCTGTCCCTCCCCCCAGCCTCAGTTTCCTCATCTGTAAAATGGAGATAATAATGCATCCCTTAGGGTTTGTGAAAATGAAATAGGGTATTGTGTAGCCAACATCCAGGCCAGTTCCTGGCACGTCGCAGGTGCTTGGTCAAAGGAAGCCGTGAGGGTTATTATCCAGGGGGTCGCTTGCCAGTCCTGGTGTTTGGAAGTGAATCTTCCTTCCTGACAGAAATTGAATCAGATGTTTATGCCACCCTGATGGCTGTAAGGCAGAGGTTAGAGTGGAGGAAGCCCAGGAAGGCAGGAGAGCCAGCAAGCAAGGGGGGGCGGGGTTAAGTAGCTACATGAATCCTTTAGGTGCCAAGGGTGGATAAGAGCTTGGGCTCTGGAGCCAGGAAGCTTAGGTTTAATCCCAGCCCTGCCACTTTTCATTGTGTGACCTTGAGCAAGTTATATAACCTCTGAACCTCAGTTTCCTCATCTATAAAATGGAGATAATTGTAGAACTACCTCATGAATACAGGAGTGCCTGGCTACTAGCAAACACTCAGTTTCCCTTATTTTCTGGCCAGCAACCTCCTCGAACTGTCCGAGTTCCTATGGGTGGACTTTTTGGTGGACAATGGCACTAGTGGAGGTGTGGCAGTCACTCGCCCTGTCACATGGCAGCTGGAGTATCCAGGCCAGGCCCCCGAAGCAGAGAAAGACAAAGTGGTGTGGGAGATCCTGGTATCGGAGCGGGACATAAGAGCCCTTGTCCCACTGGCCAAGGTAAGGGGTGCCCTTTCTGCCCAGCCAGGCGGGGGGCCGAGTGAGGTGAAGAGCCTGGGGCTGAGTTCCTTCCGCACCCTCAGGCCGAGGAGGTGGTGAACACAGCACCACTGACTGGAGTGCCGCGACGTGTCCCTGTGCGCCTTGTCACCGTGGACAGTGGGGGGGCTCTGGTGGAGGTGACAGAACACATTGGCTGTGAGTCTGCCAATGCCCAGGTCCTGCAGGTGAGTGGCACATGCCAATCCCATGTGAGTATGCATTTGTGCACATAGTGATGCACACACAGCTTTCCTCCTTCCCTACTCAGAGGACAGATTCTTTTTGTCACCAGAAACCTCTTGGGGGGGGACACAGCTTCACCTTCCTTTGTTCCCGTCACCTCTCTACAGAGTCAAGTGGGAGCTATGTAACCTCAGCTGCCCCCAGCTTAGGCATTTCATGTTTATTATGGCATTAGCAAGGGAACTGCCGTGGGAGAGTTAGGAGCATGTACTTTGGGATCGGAAAGTTTCTGTTTGAAACCCTTTGTTATCAACTAGCAGTGTGATTGTGGATAAGTCTCTTAACCCCTCTGAGCCTCAGTTTCCAAAGCTTTAAAATGGGAATGTACTTTAGGGATATTGCAAGAATTCAAAATACCCTAAGACAGTATCCAGCAGAGAGCAGGAGCTGAAACAATGGCAGCTACTGTTGCTATAATAAATATATAATGATAAAAATAATGATTATTATGATAGAGCCTCATCATGACCTGTGAGGTAAAAAAAGGGCTGGGCAACTTTATCCATTTTGAAGTCCTAAGAGGGGAAGTTCGGAGCCTGCATTTCCTAAATCCTGACCGCCTGAATGAAGAAAAGTGTCTTTGGCCACTTTTGGTGGCACTTTGCCCCTGTGTATGTGGTTCCTACCTACCTGTAGCTAGCTCCTTGCCAGGTGGCTCCAGCACCAAAGTCAGATGCCAGCACTAAGGAGGCAAATTTGGGGGTTCAAACCCTCCTCTGTCAGAAGGAAGTTTCTGTTTTATGCAAATAGCCAGTTTCCTCAACAGCCCCACGTGAACTTGGAATGGCTGGTTCCTCCAGGGAGAATGGATCTTGGATGCATGGTGAAATCTTGATCTAAGGACATGCATTACAGTAAAATGCAGAACCGAATTTCAGCTGTATCCCTTTTTATGGCACGGGGTCAGCTCTGCTCTCTCTGATTCATACCTGTATTCCCTGGCTTAGCCCACCTCCTGCCCTCCCACAGGTGTCGGAGGCCTGTGACGCTGTGTTTGTGGCCGGCAAGGAGAGCCGGGGTGCTCTAGGCGTGCGGGTGGACTTCTGGTGGCGCCGGCTGCGGGCCTCGCTGCGGCTGACTGTGTGGGCCCCATTGCTGCCCCTGCGCATTGAGCTGACTGACACCACCCTGGAACAGGTCCGAGGCTGGAGGGTACCCGGCCCAGCTGAAGGGTGAGTGGAGGCCTGGAGAAGCTGGCTTACCTTGGCGAAGTTGCTCTGAGACTGAGAGAGAGCCTGGGGGACACAGCCATGGGCTCCAGCGGGGATCTGAAAAAGTGCCCAGTTGCTTGTGGTTCCCCCCACCCATCCCAGCCCCTCTGACCATGTCGTTGCCGACCTCCGCACTCTCCCTCCTTCCCCACCGCCCTTTTCTGATATATCATGATTCATCTTGTTTGTGCACTGTCTGCCCCCTCTGTAGAATGTAAACCCTTGAAGTCGGGTTTTGTCTCTTCTGCTCACTGCTAAATCCCCGAAGCCTAAGATGGCACCTAGCTCAGTAAATACTGAGGGGGTCCCACCAGAGCCCAAGGGTGCAGTGGCCTCAGGCACCTAAGCTCCCAGGCTCTCTAGAGAGTAACTGTCTCCCTGCTGAGGGAGCTTTCTTGCCACCAAGTTCCAATTAGGAGCAGGAGGAGGGGGGAGCGGCTTGATGGGTAGGCAGGGGCACCAATCTGGAATGGGGCCGGGATGCAGCGCCTGCAGGTGGAGGGACCTGACCCGGCAGGTGTGACTGTGGGCGGAGTTTGAAGTGTGGCCCCCCTTGCGGGCGGTGAGGCCTCCGGGGGCGGAGCCTGGCGTCTGTGGGCGG